ACTATTTGATCCAGTTATCCCAACTCCTCATATATTCCCAAAGGATTTAAAATCAATATACTATAGTAACAGCCACATTAATGTTTATAGAAGCTCAATTTATAATTGCTAAACTATGGAACCAGCTTAGGTGCCCTTCCACAGATGGATGGATAAAGAAAATATGGTACATATAGATAATAGAATATTACTTGGCCATAAATAGGAATGAAATTATGACATTTTCTGGTGAATGGATGGAACTGGAGACTCTCATGCTAAGCGAAATGAGCTAATTCCAAAAAACCAAGACCAAATGTTTTCTCTAATACTCGGATGCTGACTCCCAATAGGTGGGAGTGTAGGGCTAGAGTGAGGAACAGAGGTTCACTGGATTGGACAGGGCAAAATTGGGGGAATTGAGGGAGATGGCAATGGAAAAGACAGTAGAATGAACTGAACACCACTTTTCTATGTTCATATGAATACACAACCATTGTGACTCCACATGTACAACCACAAAAATGAGAAGTTATACTCCATGTATGTATGATATGTCAAAATACATTCTACTGTCATATATAACTAAAAAGAACAAATAAAAAAAGAAATTAAAAGTTAAAAAACTGAAATATAGTATTTGAAAAGTTGAATTACTATATGGAAAAAATTGGATCCCTATCTTACAATATGTGAAAATTGGACTCCAGATAGATTAAAGATATAAATAGAAAAGCTCACACCAGGAGAAAATAATACCCATTACTTAATGACAAAAAAAATAGAGAAATCCTTCATGAACAATATGCAGAAAATACAGATAATAATCCCACAAACTGTTGGATATGATGACCTCAGAATTAAAGATTTCTAATTATGAATGAAGGATGTCAAAAATAATGTCACAGATGAACAATCACAAGAAGGAATTTAGAACATCTAAAATCAGCAAGGAGTTTATACCCTTAAATATATAAGAATCTGTATAAATCATCAGGAAAACATAGAAAACCTCAGTCTAAGTAACTTTTTAACTTTACTTAGCTCCAGTTATGGAGGTTCAAAGACATGATATCAGCATTAGTCCAGGTCTGGTGAAGACCTTGTGGCAGATGGCATTGCAGTGGCAAGAATACATATGAAAGGGAACCAAAGAGTGATTCAAGGGTCTGACTTGAACTTTAAACAATTCAGTCTCATGAAAACTAATTCAAGGCCCCATGAGAACTCCCTTAATCCCTGCCAAGGGAAGTACCCCCACCCCTGCAACCAAAGATTATTGGCCCTAATTCTTTTTTTTTTTTCAGTTTTCAGTTTTCAGTGGACATAACATCTTTATTTTTTATTTTATGTGGTACTAAGGATCGAACCCAGTGCCTGCACATGCCAGCAAGCACGTTACCGCTTGAGCCACATTCCCAGCCCCAGCCCTAATTCTTAAAGTTTCTTACTTGCCTCCCAAAATTGCCATCTTAGGGACCAAGCTCTGACACATGAATCATTGGGGTTAGATCACATCCAAACCATAGTATTTTTCTGCTCAGTTCAGTCATATCATGAGTTAGGAAGTTGTTTTTTCCCCTAGATCAAAATTGTATCCCGGTTATATTATTTTGTTTACTATGTCACAACAGATATCTCTATATCATTGTTCCAGCTCAGATGTGTGTAACTGTATTAGTCAAGGTTATCTGTAGAAACAAAACCAATAAGATATGGATATAGGTAGATTGGTTTCTTACAAAGAATGGGTTTGCATAATTATGGAGGCTCAGAAGTCCCACAATTGGCCATTTGCAAGCTGGAGACCTTGGAAAGCCAATGGTGTAATTCCAGTCCAAGTCCAAAAGGCTGAGAACCTGGAAAGCCTATGGTTCCTTTCCAAGTTCAAAGACCTGAGAAGCAGGAGCACCAGTGGTATAAATCTTAGTCTGATGGTAGGAGACTAATGTTCCTGCTCAAGTATTTAAGCAAGGAGCAAATTCTCCTTTCCTCTGACATTTTGTTCCATTCAGACTCTCAAAAAGATTGGATGAAACCCAATCACACTGGGAAAGGTAATTTGCTTTATTCAGTCAACCTAATCTTATCAAGAAATACCTTACACTTAGAAATAATTTTTAACCAAATAGCTGAGCACTTGGCCTAGTTACCTTGACACATAATTTTAACCATAATAAGTCTACTTCTATCAATTTGACACCCAAACACCATACTTAATCTTCAAATAAAGACAATAAAAAAGTTAATCTTCTTAATGGTTTAATCTCCTTAAACCATATGTAATCTTCAAATAAAGGCAATAACAAAGCTATAATTCTGTCTACCCTGATGCAACTATGCTGCCTACAATCAAGAGCTCACTAACCCCTATCTAAAAGAGAAGGTAAAGTCCTTGAGTGATTTTTATTTTTATGATGTAAAATTAATAATATCTAAATAATAGGATATAAAGTCAATACATTCTGTGTAATGTGATAAAGGAATGAGAGGAAAAAACATTTACTGTACATACATATATTCATAACAAAAGAAGGAAATTCTGATGACAATTATTCTTTATTTCTAAAACCAGTCAGATGATTGTGATTGGTATTTAAAGCTACCTTCTTTCACTTCAGTGAGCACCTCATCTGGTTGAATTCTTTACCTGGTGAGTTATTGTGGACTGAATGTTCTTATCTCCCCCCAAATTCATATGTTGAAATTATAATCATCATTGTTTTGATTTTAAGAGGTAGGCCTTTTGGAGGTAATGAGGTCATGAGGACTCCACAATCTATGAACCACTGTACTAGCACTCAATAGATGCTGAATCTACCAGTGCCTTGATCTTAGATTTCTAGGCCTCCAGAAATGAAAAACTGATGTTTATTATTAAAACCACCCAGGCATGGACCATTAATTGCCTCCAAATGAAAGTATCTACTCACATACATTTAAAAACCACAAAGGTAAATTATGAGATAACATCCAGTGGGATATAAACAGTAATATTAACATAGTGTGTAAGAGTAAAGATTAGCCCTGTCCAAGAGAAATATAATGCAACAAGTCCCAAATGAAAACCACATACATAATTCTAAGTTTTCTAGTGGCCACTTAAAAATATAAAAAGAAATGAAACTGATTTGAATAATATTTCATTTAAACTAATACATCTAAAGCATTACTTTAACATATAATCAGTATAGGGGCTGGGGTTGTGGCTCAACTGTCAAGCACTCACCTAGCACGTGCAAGGCACTGGATTCAATCCTCAGCACCATATAAGAATAAATAAATAAAACAAAGGTATTGTGTCCAACTACAGCTAAATGTGTGTGTGTGTGTGTGTGTGTGTGTGTGTGTGTAAAATCAGTGTAAAGAATCATTAATTAGGTATTTTACATTTTTTCTGGATAAGTCTTCAAAATCTGGTCTCATTTACAGTACATATCAATTTTGCTTGCCACAACTCAAGTGCTCAATAGCAACTTAAACTCATCCATACTATTTAAACTCCTCTGCCTCATCAAGCTGCTTAATTCATCTTCTTCATCTGTCAAAGGGGATATTCTGATAATTCTAACAAATAAGTGGTTGCAAGAATTCAATCAAACATATAGAAAATGCTTAGTTTATGTTATATAGCCATCAATTGATACCCAGTTAGCTAGATATTGATATGGATTAGAACATGAATCTGTATAGATAAAATCATGCCCCATGTATTAATTTTGGTTAGATTTACCCAGCAAGCTAATTTTTATGACTCTGTGCTTTTATATACAAATAAATATTATTATATGAAAATGTAAGTAGTCTTTACTTGATTGCTATGGAAAAAGAAAATGTTTCCTATGTCTTTAAATAAAAGTAGAAAGTAATTTTCTTATAACTCTAGACAAGAAAGAGATGTTCTAAAGTTTTTTATGTTATTCCTTTTGTTTTCTATGGTGCTTAAAGGAGAAATAATAAGGCATACACAAAGACAAAGATAGATAAACTTTGAAATAGTGTTATTGATTGCTTCCTTTCACTTTTTCTGACACATCATTCATTCATTAAGCTATTTGTACTACCTAATATACTCTCTTCCCTTCTTTGCTTGGCTGGCTGGCCTTTTTGCTTCCTCATATTTGTTTGTTTGGGGTACTGGAAATTGAAACCAGGGTCACTTAGCCATTGAGCCATACCCCAGGCCTTTTTTTATTTGTTTCTTTGAGACAGGGTCTCACTAAATTGCTTAGGACCTTGCTAAATCACTGAGGCTGGCTTTGAACCTGTTATCCTCCTGCCTCAACTTCCTAAATCACTGGGATTATAGGCATGCACCACCATACCCAGCTCAAGTTCTTCTCTGACATCTTTGCTAAAATAGCCTTCTCTTTTATTCTCCCCATCAGACTCATTGTTTTCTCTATGAGCTTATATCACAATTTATAATTATTCAGTTTCAATTTAGTTGCTTTCATCTCTATATTTCAAGACTTTTGACCTATCAGGGCAGGGATTAAGTTCTGACTTGGTGTCTAATGAAATCTTAGCAACCAGCACAGTGCCTGGCACAGGCATTTACTCATTTCTTGAGTAAATGAATGAATGAATGAGCACATACTGTTCTGTCATGTATTGAGGTGCTTTGAAAAAAGTCATAGAAATTATTTCTTAAACTAATATATGTCCACATCAAGTAGATGTAAAAACTGCAGAAGTTTTATAACACTCGGTGAATCATCAATTCACAAGGGCAGATATTATAATTGAATTTGAAACTCAGTGCCTCCCAATATAGTGTCTGTCACACAATGTCCCTCTACACACACACACACTCATACAAACACACACACACACATACACACACACATTTGATGGAGTAAATTAATTTTGATATGAAGTCATAGGCTACATACCTATATGAGGAGGAATTTTACTACAAAATAAAATTCACAATGACTAGAAAGAAACATTAATTATGGGTGATTTAAAACAAGGATGCTACAATAGAATGTAATATGTTATATTTTTTCTCCTAAAAGGGACCTGTTGGCTTACCTGGAGAAGTTGGGATAACTGGAAGCATTGGTGAAAAGGTAATTTCTTTCCTTTTTTTTGTTTTTTATAGTAAGAATTCTAAGCTAAGTTTAAAGGAGACTTTCATATTCTATTTTATAATAATTAGAAATCACTCATAGCTTTAACATATTACCTCTACTAAAACTCTTAAATATATTAAAATACAGCTAATAGCATATTTACTTCTAATTTTTAAAAGAGTATATTTTTAGTTATAAATATATGGTCCTGAAGGAAATATGAAACAGTCTTCATATATTCTTTAAATCTACTTTATGATTGCAAGCCCCCTATAGGAAGCAATTTTGAAAGAGCAATTACCAATTTACCTTTCTCTTTCACCTGTCTCATATATTCTTGTTCCTATTCCATTCTTACTATTTTCTTTGTCTAGTGTTATCTTCTCTTATTTATTCAAAACCAAACTGATGGACTTCCCTCTGTTTATTAAAAATCAAATTGTTGGACTCAGTTAAACTGCCATCTTCTCTACAAAGCCTCTCTAGACTCCCTTTCTTTCTTCTTTCCTGAAGTTAAAATAAGTACTACACTGTTTAAAATTTAGTTGTAAAAAGGAAATTCAGTTGTCCTGTAATTGTTTCATCTTTGTTAACATCACTTCTGTGGAATTTATGTTTATTTAAATATCTCTCCTAACTCTCATTTAGTACAAAATGCTTAATACTTACTGATTTTTTTTAGTTAACAAAAAGTGAGATAATTAGATAATTTTATAATCTTTTCACTCTGACTTAGTTACTTCTATGTAGGGTTACATCTTCTACATTAGGGTTTTGACAATTCTAAGAATTTTATTGTGGATCAGTTTTATCCTTTTAATCTGTTAAAGAAGATTTTATTGTAATGATTTTCCAGAATTATTTCTGTGGCACTTAATTATGGTAGACAGACTCAAGAAATAAAATTTTGTTCAATGGTTATATAGATTATTTTTCAGTATGCTTTCATACTTTCACTATTCTCATACTTTGTCTCATAAAATTGTAAGCACTTCTACTTACAAAACTTTAGTATATACATGCTTAATATTAAGTTCTGTTCAACCATGATTTCTGTTTTCTTCATTTTAATAAGACTTTTAGTATTTTTTCCTTAAAAATATCTTAGGATCATTTTTATTGTACTGTAAGTCTTGCAATTTAGGATAAAAATTTAAAAATTGTGAATTTAAAGATTACTTAAAATTAGGATGAGATGTGCATTTTAAGGTATGATTCTGATGACTTTCTAGCCTTAGCTCAGTTATGATTAATTAACATGACTCAGTGTTATTGTTTTTTTCTTTCTTGTTTTAAAAGGGAGAGCGTGGAAGTCCAGGCCCACTAGGTCCCCAGGGGGAAAAAGGTGTTATGGTAAGAGATAAATGATTTTTAAAATGTTTCTGAAGAAAATAATGAAGGTAAACATTTCAGAGGTAGAATTCCCTTGATTGAAAATTAAGTGAAAAATGCTATAGTTATAATAAATTTCTATTAGAATTTTCTTTTAAACTGTTTTATCTTACAGAATGCCATGTGGCAAGAAGGCACTAAAAGCATGCATAATTTAGAAGAATTAGATAATCATAAATTGGCTAAAATGGATTAAGAAAAATTCAATTAGAATTCTACTTATTCTCCTACAGTTTATAATTCATGTGGCACATATAATCATTGCCACTTTTCTATGAGTTTGTGGTCATGAGGTCATTTTTTGGCACCTGAAAGCTCAGTATCCAAATTTATCTTACTCCCTTGTTTCTTTAAGATAGTAACAGCTGAAAAATAATTTACATGTGTTTCGTTTTTTAATTTTTTTTAAAGAAAAGCTCTATAAGCACTAAAAAATAACAAAATCATGGCATTTGCAGGCAAATGGACAGCATTAGATAGAGCATATTATGCTAAGTGAAGTTAGCCAATCCCTAAAAAACAAATGTCGAATATCTTCTCTGATATAAGGAGGGTGACTCAAAATGGGATAGAGAGGAAGAGCATGAAAAGAAGACTACCTCTAAATAGGGAAGAGAGGTGGGAGGGAAAAAGAGGGAGAAGGGGAGTTGCACGGAAGATGGAAGGAGAACCTCATTGTTATACAGAATACATGTATGATGTTGTGATGAGAAAAAGAAAATAAAGTGTGTCACATTAGATTAGATAGAGAGAAAGGATGGGAGAGGAGGGAAGGAGTAGGGAGGATAGGAAGGGCAGCAGAATAGAATAGACAATATGATTGATGTATGTACATTCCATGTATATATTATATGTCAAAATACATTCTGCTGTCATGTATGACTAAAAAAAAAATAAATCATATGGTTAAAAAAAAAAGAAAAGCTCTGTAAGATTTTTTTTTTTTTAGCTATCTCCATTTGCTTTTAGCTAGAAAATTTAACATAAGACTAATCAACTTCAGGAATCATTACTTCTTGAAACCATTCTCAGAATCAGTGTTAATAACAAAGTGTGTTTCTTCTAAAATTTAAAAAGTAAAAATATTTATACACAATCGTGTTTCTTAATTATAGAATTCCCTGCCCTTTCTCAAAAAAAATATGATTTCTTAATGTATATAACATAACAAATACCCATGCATACTATACTACTTAATACACTACTTAAGATACTATAATCTACAGAAGATAAAATGATTTTTCTCTTTCAGTAGATTGTAATATGTGACCTACTTAACAATTTTCTTTTCCAGGCAAAGACCCTCTAATAAATGAATACATATCTATGCAAACATGTTTTGAGTTCTGTGGTCTTTCTGTAGAAATCTTTCCTGTGGCCTCTTTTATCTTGGATAGGAGAGGAAGAGTTTATCAAGTTATCTCTTTTTATTTTTTTTTTGATCTATTTATAATTGCTGGTTTATCCTCAGTGAAAACAATTAAATGCAATAGAGGTTTTGTGTTTTTCATATTATACTTAAATCATAGGGATATCCAGGTCCTCCTGGGGTTCCAGGATCCATGGGTCCTTTGGGATTACCTGTAAGTACTGAATATACTGTATGTATCTATCCTTTCTAGAATGTCTGCTTTAATTTAAGCCCATCACTTTTGTTATGCTGCTTTTTTTTTACTTCATGTAAAATTCATGTAAAAAAGTCATATAAACTAGTGGTGACTGCTGCTCTCCCTAATTATACAAAACAGCCTGGACAGCATCTTGAATTTCCTCTCCCCTACTTGGCATGTAAACCAACTTTAGTTCTATAACCTAAAGTAAAAAACAGCTTAACTTTCTTTATAATAATTACATATATAAGAAAACAAGTCACTAATCAAGACTAGAGTAAGATCAAATGGACAAAAAAATCATAAATTTCAACATATTTTTCTTAGAAAATAGCAAATATTCTCAACCAGTTAAAATTAACAGGAAATATACCTTTATTAAAATTTAATAAATATACCTTTATTAAACAAAAGTTGAGGTTTGAAAATATTCCATATGTTCTTTACAGAAAGATAATGAAATTCTTTCCCCTGAAGAGAGAAACTTTGCTTATCAGAAATTGATAGTTATTGGGGACATGAATAAGAAAAAGTAGTCTTATAATCCCCTGGGCAGAACTTTTCCTATCACAATGGTATATACTGTTTTGTGATGCTTCTGTTTTAAAAATAGGCCTAATTTTCTAGTATATTGATAGACATGTTGTTGGCTTCTAAAATCAGGAAGACTTGGAGCTGGGGCTGTGACTCAGAGGTAGAGCACTCGCCTCGCACATGAAAAACCCTAGATTTGATCCTCAGAACCACATAAAAATAAATAAGTGAAGTAAAGGTATTATGTCCAACTACAACTAAAAAATAAATATGAATAAATCAGGAAGACTTGTCTGGGGCACAGTTATCAGTCTCTTTATTCAGATAGATAGATAGATAGTATATAGATAGATATCAAATCCTAAAGTTTAGTCCATTTTTATCATACTGAATGTTTTTTGGTAAATTTTATTTTCCAAATAAGTCTTTATTAAAGACTATAAAGTATAAAACTAATTCATTAAAATTGACTTAATAAATTGACTTAATAAACTTAATGTCCATTACAGGCTGTTTCTTTTGACATGCTAATTTAAAACATTTATAACCTTCTTTATAGCTTCAGAAAAAATCTATTTTTATGTAATAAAGTTATCATAAGTAGATAGAACAATAATAAATTAATGTTATAATTTATAATAGCCATTGTTTCTTGGTTGGCCAGGCATATCAGACTAGTCTAGAGGGCTGAGTATCTCCTCCTTCACTCCAGGTGTGTTCCTGCTATAAACTCTTTGGTCAATCAATATTAAATAAGCCCTCCATCTTTGTTTAGGGTATAAACATCTAAAAATGACATTTCTCCAGATACTAGACTATTTCAAAAGCTAAATATTAGTGCAACAAAATGTGGTATTTTATAATTAATACATATTTTAAGGAAACCAATTAATTTTATTTTTAAAATTTCTAAGGTGAATTATATTATGTGATAAGAAAGATTATGACTGCTTTTCTGATAGCATTCCTATGAATTATATGAGTGATTTTTTAATTCACAACATGTAGGGTCATGTGGGAGCAAGAGGACCACCTGGGAGTCAAGGTCCTAAAGGCCAAAGAGTAAGTAATACAGTTAAAGAAGTACACTAACCTCAGAAAAATCACCTCATAATGATATGTTCAATAAAAATAGCTCCATACTTTGGATACTTATGCTTAGATATTGCCAGCTTTTCCCTGTTTTCATTTTGAACTATCTTCATCTAATATGGACTGACTACAAAAATTCTGAATGTTGGCCCCTTTGAGAAAATGTGTACCTTGTAGAATAAAGCAAACTTAGGTAGTATTTACATTTAGATTGAATGCTAGGTTATACCTGGAGCACTCCAAGTGACAGACAAAACTTCCTCTATGGTTTCCTCTCCTGAAATAAGTTTATGGTAAGAATCTCTTCCCCCAAAATTGCTGATAATGTTAGTTTTGCTAAATGGAACATTTGGTTCCAGCTGTGTAAATCAAGAGCCAGAAAAGTCTGCTGGCTCATTAGTGAGGCATGTTGAGTGACTTAAAATTAACAGTGAGATCATGCAAAGATAGATATGGTTAAAAGGAAATATAAATATATGAGTCCAAGTTACAAAGACATATTTTATGTAAGGGCTGTTTCCTTCATTCATAGATACTTAGCCTGTTATAATTTATTATAGGGGTCATAGAAATGGGCTTGGAATTCTCATAAAAGTCTTCCTAAATGAGTATGCAGTATGTGTTAATGTTTTAATTAATCATGTTTTTTTTCTTTTAATTTAAGCAATGTAATGGTCCTGTCTCCTATCATCTAATGCGTTTAGGACTAAATTGTTCATTCACTTATTTGGATAATTTTAGGTTTATCGCCTACCTTTCAAGTAATTGTTACTTTACAAAACATGCTTTGTTTACATTATTGAGCTATCAAACTTTTACTCTCCTTTTGAGAACCCATTAATAGCTCAGTGTAGCCAAATTTGACTTTCCCAAGAGAATAAACAAAAGATTCGATTTTTTATCTAGCTAAGAGAGCATCTAGAAAATATTTTAATGCAGTTATTTTTTTTAATTCATGCCAAATTAGGTACCTGTTGTAATGCTATTTGCCTAATTTTCTTAGAGCTTGTCCTAAAGCTTATTTTGCCTAAGAGTCAGAGTAAGCATATACACTAACCAGTCCAGAGGGAACTTGACGATGCTGATAAAGCTAAGCCTTTGGTTAATTAGTTCACTCTTGCCTAAAGCATAGAGAATATCAGCTTTTCCATGAATTCTGCCAGATTTAAACCCATAACTAGCAACTTTAGCCTTATGACCTTTAATTAATGTAACTGTATTACTTAGGTCTTTTTTTTTTAATTCAATCTGGTTAGGCACAGAAATTTCTCTTTCTTTGTTCCCTGTGTAATCCTGGGTTAATAAATGAAATTATAAATGCGGGAATATTTTTAAAATAAAAGCATTTTTAATGTAAAACAGTAATAATGAGTGGTAAATTTTGGAGAGAGTTCATTTCAATTACAGTCATTTTACTTGTGAATGTTTCATATTTTTATATAAGCTTTTGCTAAGTTTCAAGTCCTCTATTCCAACCTGAATTCACTTACTAACAAAATTTAGCCTTTTTTTTTTTAACACGAGCAAAAATATAAACTTTCTCAAGCACAATTATTCAAAGTCCTTGGTCATTTAGAGTCAGGCAACTCACTTAGTATCAATCTGGTTATCTTTTTTTTTTATTAATGCTGGCAGTTAATCAGTAAGAAAATATCTAAGAAACACATAGAAATTTGGGGTGGCAGAGGGATTTTTAAGTGCTTGCTTACCAGTAGACACGTTTTTGGTTTAGACTTTGTTTTCTGTCTAAACCAGTTTTTAGAATTTTACCAGTCATTCCTTTTCAAAATTTCTCAGCCATCTTCTTTTGTTATTCCAAAAAAAATTAGCAGTCTTTCTTACAGGCAGAAAGAAGAAAACAAGGCACTGAAAATACCAGAGAAAAAGAATCAATGTAGATTGCTGAAATTTTAAGATGACAGGAATTATTAGAGCAAAATCTTGAGGGCCTTTCACACTTTAAACTTCATTCTTTAATCATTATTGTTTTCTAATTTTCAGTTACTTAACTGTTGAATATTCCAAGTGCATCCCCCTGAGCACTTCCACACTTGCTGTCTCTCTTGCCACAGTGACCTTTCCCAAGTTACTTGAATGCCTTGAAGTCTGATCTCCAATAGAGACTTCTCAGATGCTCTAGCTAAAGTGGTACTCCCCACATTGGGTGCTTTCTAGTACTGTAAAATCCTTTAATTTTCTTCATTATACTTGACTACCTATTTTCATTTTATACTTCAATTTTAAATGCTTATTTTCTTGTTTATAAATTCAGGAAATTGTCTTTTCTCTCTACTGTGTCCCCTGAGCCTAAAACAATGCCCAGTGTGTAGTAGGCATTCAGCAAATGTTAGTTGAATTAAAACTCATTTTGAAAATTATTGATCTATTTAATTGACTCTTTACTTCTCAACTTGACCTTCAAGGTCTTACACAATAAGACAGTAATTTAGTTTTCCAGTCCTATTGGAAAATAAGGCGGAAAAGGAAGTTGGGGACAGACTATGGAGCACCTTAAATACGGACTGAGAAGTTTTAAGACTGGAGATTTGGCTTTCACTTTAATAGGACCAGCAGAGCTGTAGATACTCATGGAGTATAATGTTCTCTCCAAATCCATGAACATGCCCAAGCAGATCAAGAAATGCAGGTACCCTTATAGTAGGGAGGAAAAGAGTCCTATTATAGTAAACAGCTTTTAATAATAAAAAGCTAAACTAAGACTTATCTCAGATGGAATGAAAGAGAAGGTGCAGAAGCCTAGGAGGATCCTTCAGATGAGCAGGTTGTACTGGGATATTTGTATCACTATTTTGTATACAAGTATATGGTTCCCGATTCCCAAGTTATTTAAATATAAACTCCAATCCTTTTCCTTTTAAATCTGTCTTCCTTACCACATTTATTTTTTAAATAGTTCTCTACATGTTATCTATAACATGGCCAAACAAACTCATTTTCATTCTTCGAATATCTTCTTTCATGCCTCTGCACCCTTTTCTCATACTGTCCTTTTAACTAGAATTCCTTCTGTTTTGAGTAATTTCACGAGAACTTGACTTCCAGCTGCCAGAGGATATCTACATTCCCATAACCAACATGTCAATGTTCTCTGTCTCTGAATCCTCCTTTCGGTTCCTGACATGCCCATATCCTTGTATTACGATCACTTGTGTAATTTACCTTTTAATTCTATGTAATTGTGAGATTTCTTCATTTTGTTACAAAGATTTCTTCAAAATGAAGAAATCTCACAATTATGTATTTTCATAACACTTCATATAATTCCTTTTCTACAGCAGATCTTGGGTTAGAGGCTTATAGAAATGAATTAAGTACCTTTAAAAGGGGGACTCTAATTTAATCTTGGGACTGGAGTTGTGGCTCAGTGGTAACGTGCTTGCCTAGCATGTGTGAGGCACTGGTTCGATTCTCAGCACCACATACAAATAAATAAAATAAAGGGGGCTGGGAATGTGGCTCAAGCGGTAGCGCGCTAGCCTGGCATGCATGCGGCCCGGGTTCGATCTTCAGCACCACATACCAACAAAGATGTTGTGTCCACCGAGAACTAAAAAAAAATAAATATTAAAAAATTCTCTCTCTCTCTCTCTCTTTCTCTCTCTCCTCCTCTCTCACTCTCTCTTTAAAAAAAATAAATAAAGGTCCATCAACATCTAAAAAAATATCTTTAAAAAAGGGCTCTAATATCTTCAAAGGAATGTTATAACTTAAACAGGACTGGACTTTTGTTACCAGTGCTTCTTTGCAACTAAGTATTGAATGAATATTAGGAAGTTATAAAATTACAAGAATATCTCCAATAACATTTCTATATTCATTCTGTGCCCCTGCCATCTTTTAGTAATCATTGTGCAGCAGGTGCAGAGTGTATACAATGCTATCAGTACTCATTTGCTAAGCTGAAGAGAAAAGCACCATTGCAAAAACATGAAACTTAAAGAGATTGTTTACACAAATAAGACAGCTACTTTTAGGTTAAGGTTTTTAAGAATAAGTCCTAACTGACTGCTGAGTGAACAAGAAAGTGAAAAAATGCCCTAAAAACAAACTGACAGCCCCCCAACAACTGTATCAGCTATTTTTGTGGTCATATAATTTTCTATTTGGCATAGAATCTTAAAAACATGGGCTGACTCACTTGTATAAAGAAGTTCAGCCATATGCCCAGCTGTATTCTCTTCTGTACTCAGAGCATAAATATAAGCAGAAGTTTTTCAATTAAAAGGCACTATGTCTTTATCTTCCAGGACACATAGGAGTAAAAAAAGGAACAGTTCAAATTAGTAACATTTCAAATTTTTCCCATCTCTAGGGACCAAGAGGACCAGATGGTCTCCCAGGAGAACAAGGTATACAAGGTGTCAAGGTAATAATTTATTTCCTCATTTTATATGCAGATAAATTTTATTGAGCCCCATATCTTACTTATCCATAAAGTGATGTTTCCTTACAAATGCATAGTTCTAAATTTTCTTAGTTATTAAACATATATAATTATATATTAAACATACATAATTTTTACTACACACACACACAAATGTTTTCTTTTCAATATTGAACCACATATTGTATTATATTTTCTTTGTGAATGTATGCTAGTATGTATAAGGCCATAATTCAAATTCTAACTAATTTATCTGGTATTCATACTTTGTTAGGGTGAAAAAGGAAATCAAGGAAAAAGAGGGCCGCATGGTCTTATTGTAAGTAATGAAACATTTCATATTAAGTATGAACATTTTAAACCTTCCCTATTTATCTTGGTTCTTTCCCATTATTTTGTGAATTGCCTTCTTGACCTAAGCTTTTTTTTTCCTTGATCAGGGTAAGACTGGAAACCCAGGAGAGAGAGGAGCTCAAGGGAAACCAGTAAGTCATAAAAAATAAGCTATGAACAACTTTTATCCACTTTTAGGGGTTGTGTTGAAATAATGCTTGGGGAGATTTTAACAAAATTATTGATAGTGTAAAATGTAATGTCTTCATATATGAATACATTATGAAAAGATCTACTTTATCATCTGACAGAATTATTGATTAATATTCAATTTTTTAGACTAAGAGTACACAAGTTTTTTTCTTCCCTTTTCATCGTAGATAATTTTACTAAAGCAAGTTGCTTACCCCTTTTGGGTATTGGTTGTACCTATTTTTAAATTGATAGTGATAACATTTTGATTTTACTATAGATATGGTAAATTAGTTTTTCTGTAAAAGCCATATCAAAATAAAGTGGTGTGATATATATATATATATATATATATATATATATATAAATATATATGAAATACAATAAACCTAAAACAAGAAACTTCTCTGAGGCCTCTTGCCTAGTTTCCTTATAACTCATCTTGAGTGCCTTTTTGACCTTCAGAGTTCAGAGCTATGTATGTCACCATGCTTTCCTATGGCTCTGTTCTAAAAGTTTTTAATAATTTATAAACTCAATAATTAATGTATTATATCAGTAATTTTCTACCATCAGACATCTTACCAGATTATATATCTTTCCCAAGGAACAAGTTCTATGAACATCCCTAGATCAGATTATTATCTAAAAAAGATTCACATGTGTGTACATAAACATACACAGATGATATTAGATATATATGACCATATGAACTGAAATGTATAGGTATTTTTAATTACTTTCATTCAGAATGAGTTTTTAATGATATTTTACTTGTCATATACATGTACATGTATACTTTAACAGTATGAAATTAGATAATAACATAAATAGATTGCAGCTGAGAGGTCATAAAAGGATAGGATAAAAATGTTTTATCTGATATATTGTCACTAATTGTCACATTTTCTTGTTCCTTTTTGAAATCTGCTGCCCCCTGCCTGTTGTTTCCACAATAGCATTATATTTGACTCGTCAAAGCTAAAATATCAGAGACCTGAAGAGAAGAAAATGACTTTCTAAGGAAAGAACTTGTGTTTGGCATTGTACTATTAATTAAATTCATTTCCAAAGAACATTCCTTGATTAATACTCACCATTTGGTTTTTTATTCAGTCAGGGTAAATCGTGTTCATGTAGATTGTGACCACTTTGCTATATTATACACAAGGTTTGCATATTGCAATTAGAGGAGGAATTTGGAGCTCATGTTAATTCTTTCATTTTAAAGAGATGAGAAATAGAGATATAAAATTACGTACTCATTTTGTACATTGTTGACCTTTCTTACACTTTAACCTTCATTTTTAGCTTTATTAAATGCAATATTTGATGTTTGACACTCTCAATCTAATAAAAGATACTAGAATTATTTTGTAATTTTAGCTTGCAGCAAAAAGTCTCCCAGACTACTGGAAAAATATACATGCCTTTTAATTTAACCATGAATAACATGGTTAGACATTAAATCATGAGTTTAGTATAGTTGTTAAGGTGTGCTGGATTCAGTATGTACATCTCCCACTCCTTGACTAAACTGAGATCTAGAAGAAGTGAGGAACAATCAAAAAAAAAAAAAAAGCCAGATAAACCTAAAATATTTGTTCTATCTTTCAGAGTAATCTTAGTGTATTCAGTCCTTCATGCACTGTCAGCAGCAAGCAACAATAGGAGGATATTTTGAAGGTCAGATTGACCTTTGTTCTTTATGCCCCTAAAAACTACATAACCTTGCTTAAATTGTTTAGCTCTCTGTATTCTATTTTCTTTACCTGGAAAATAAAGAAACATAGGAGTTTTTAAAACTATGTCTTCTCTAAATTGTCATAATTCTTTTTTTAATTGATGCTGAGTATTGAACCAAGACCTTGTACATACTAGACATATGCTGTATCACTGAGTTACACCCAGTGAAAACCAGCAATACATACATTACTCTTGGTAGATAACCTGTAAAAATATATTTATCTGTGGACTAACACCATTTCCTATATTTACCTTCCATCTACATATAGATCTGACTCAAAGGGAAATCAGGAAGAAAACTCACAATCCATAGTGTAATTAGGGTGATAAAGCATGAACCACTGATTTTGGTTTTTCAAATCATTTAAAAACTGTAAGAGTTGAATCACTACTGACTTATTTATCAATAGTCTATCAATTGATGTGATAAGGGTATAAAATTTTTTATTTTTTATTTCTCTATTTCTTTAATTCTGTCAGATTTTGCTTCATATATTTGGAAATTCTATTGTAAGTGCATTCACCTTTAGAACTATTGTGTTTTCCTGATCAACTGACCCTTTTTTCATTAAAGATATCCTATTTTTCTCTGGTAATATTATTTCCTCCTGGGAATACTGTTGTTTTGACATCTACTTTATTTAGTATTAGCTATATCATCTCTATAATTTTTTTATGGTTGCTGTTTACATGACTATTTTTCCATTAATTTACTTTCAAATTATGTGTGCCTTGATATTCAAATTGAATGTATTTCGGCTGAATCCTATGTTTTTATTCTGACAATCCCTGTGTTTGTTGGTGGTGGGGCACACCAGGAACTGAACCTAGGAATCTCAGACTTTTAATGACAGTGTTTGGTTCATTTCCATTTAATGTAACTATTAATGTGGTTGATACAGGTCTTTCATTTTAAGTTTTGTTTTTCTTTGTGCCCTCTTAGTTGCTGTTCAGTGCCTTCTTTTGGCAATGAATAATTTTAAAAATCCTATTTTTCATTACCTATTGAATTTTTAGCTAAACTCATTATTTTCAGTAGCTAGATCAGGTCAGCAGAATTTGTCTGCAAAGTGCCACAAAAAAAATTTTAAAGCATTCTATATTTATTTATTTGTTCTAATTAGATATATATGACAACAAAATGCATTTTGATTCATTGTATACAATTGCAGCACAATTTTCCATTTCTCTGGTTTTACACGATGTAGCACCATATGTGCAGTCATACATGTAACTTGGGTAATGATGTCCATCTCATTCCACTATCTTTCTTGCCCCTGTGCCCCTCCTCCCCTCTCTCCCCTTTGCCAATCATAGTTCCTCCATTCTTCCCATCCACCCCCATTATGGATCAGCATCCACTTATCAGAGAGAATATTTGGCTTTTTTAGGATTGGCCTACTTCGCTTAGCATGATATTCTCCAACTCCATCCAACAAAATAAACATTTTATGTTAAATATTTAATATAAGTGTAAGAAACTTGTAGTCATATAGGCTAATTTACCAGCCTTCTATCTTTTAGACTATAATTATTTTATGTTTTACATTTATATGTATTATAAATCCCACATTGCATTACATTAATATAAATGAAATATACACTGTAGAAATATCTAGGGGGAAAATAGCATTTTATATTTACCTACCTATTTATCATCTCTGGTACCCTTTGTTCCTTTCTGAAGATCAACATTTCATTTTCCTGTAGACTATAGAACTTCCTTTAGATTTCTTCTAATGAAGAATGCCAGTGGTTTATTCTCTCAGTTTTTATTTATGAAATATCTTTATGTCACATTTGTTCTTGAAGGACATTTTCACTGGATATGAGTGTATGGTTTTGTTTTTGTTTTGTTTTTATTCAGCACTAGAAAGAGGCCACTTTCTTTTTGCCTCCAGTATTTTAGATGAGATGTCCATGTTTATCTTTATTATTATTCCCCTGCATGTTTATATATCATTATGTAGTATTGGAGTCAGATATGTTGGAAGTCAAATACTGAATCTGCCTCTTACTAGATATTTTTCTTTTTATAAATTTTTAAATCTCTTTGAGCCTCCAATTCCTCATGTTTAAAAATGGAATATCTTTCATATTTCAAAAAAAAAAGATTTTTATTCTAATGTGCTTGGCAAAGGCTGTCAGTATTATACTTATGGTCATCAATCTTATAGTTAGTGAGTTGAAGTCATGAACAAGGAGCTCTACTATGAATAAAATAGTATTACCATCTGAAATTTTTAAATTTTTTTTATTTGTACATGACAGAAGAATACATTTATGCACTTTGATATATGATACATAGATGGGATATAATTTCTCATTTTTCTGAGTGTACATATTACAGAATCATATTGGTCATGTAGTCACATATATACATACAGTAATAATATCTGTTTTATTCTACTATCTTTCTATTTCTTATTTCTACTATCTCTTCTCCTCCCCTCCCCTCACTTCCCTCTACCTAATCTAAGGTAATGCTATTCTTCCCTAGGGCCTCCCACCTTATTGTGAATTAGCATGCACATATTCGAGAAAACATTCAGCCTTTGGTTTTGTGGGATTGGCTTATTTCACTTAGCATGAAAATTCTTAAAGAGAATTTTTATTTGTTGCCAGCTATGCTTTTTCCATTTGTCCCTAATAAAAATAGAGAATATTTAAATTGCTTCTTAGCTCTGTAGAACAGCCTTTTGAATCATCAGTAGCATTAAAGATATAAAATAAGTTGATATTATATCCAAACGCATTTTACAAGGAAAATGGGACAGACATTATTTCAAGTTCTGAACTTTTACTATCTGTTTCAGTTTGTATATTGGGCACAGAGGGATCCCTTATATTGATTCTGTTTCTTAATTTAAGAATATGAAATGAATGAAGAGTGTATGATTTTCATGACTGAAACCAGATTTTAACCAGCCAAGAGTCCATAATTTGACATATTTCCCTATCACTAAACATAGAAACTGAACAGAACATTAATGATTATAACATAAAAGATTATGTGATTCTAATAATTTTTAATACCTCTTTGAATTTTTAAAACTTTTAGTTGACATATAGTTATACACATTTGGGGGGTACAGTATAATTTTTCAGTACAATGTGAAATAATCAGATAAGAGTAATTCATGTGTCCATCACCTCAAACATTTATCACTTCTTTTTGTTGGGAAGATTCAGAATCATATCTCTACCAATTATTTTTAAATATATAATTAAATATTGTCAGCCATAGTTACCCTACTATACTATAGAATATTAAAAGTTATTCCTTCTATCCTACTGTATCCCTGTATCTGTTAACCATCTTCTCTTCGTCCCCTCTCTTCCTCCTATCCTTCCCAATCTCTATTAACTACTATTCTACTCTACACTTCCATGAGATTTAACTTTTTTAGCTTCTACCTATAAGTGAGCACATGTGGCATTTGTTTTCTGTGCTTAACTTATTTCACTTAACATGTAGTTCTCCAGTTCTGTCCATCTTGCCTCAAATGACAGGATTTCATTCTTTTCATGACTGAATAATATTCCCTTGAGTATTTATATCACATTTTCTTTATTCATTCATCTGTTGACAGGCAACTAGATTGACCCCATATCTTGGCTTTTAAGGAATAGTGCAGTAAAAAATATAGGAATACATATCTCTTCAACATACTGGTTTTCTTTCCTTTGGATATATATTCACTGATGGAATTGCTAGATCATATGGTAGTTCTGTTTCTGGTTTTTTGAGGAACCTCCATACTGTTTTCCATACTGGCTCTACTAATTTACATTCCCACTAACAGTATATGACAGTTCAACTTTCTTCACATCCTCATCAGCATTTGCAATTATAAATATCCTTACTTCCAGTTTAGTATCATATTTTTCTTAACTTATAGCTCTTAAGATAAAATGGTAGTTGTGAATTGCTGTATAGTTATTAACATTTCTAAGATCAACAGTATAGAAGATGCAACTTACAAATTGAAGCATTATTTTATATATTGTTAGTAGTTATCAATGTCTGGAATTCAGTATGTACTGAGTAAATCTTTGAATGAAAGGACAAGGGAGCATACAGAATTTGGCTTAGAGTTCTATCTACCATTTTATAATGTATTTCATTGTAAATGTATTTCATTAATACATAATATATAAATGTATTTCATTATAATATATTTCATTATAAAATGAGACTCACTTTCTGGTACTATAGGTAGTATGATGTAAAAATGAAATTAAATAAGAACTTAGAGGTCCAGTATTGTTATTTATAGCCATCTGGAGATCCTGATATCACTATGCCTTGCCATATTTTAAGGGCACAAATCATACTTATTAATACATCACAAGGATATTATATTTGGAAAAAACTTTTTATATCAATATTAAAGGTGTAAGGAAATTCAAATTTAAAATAATGCTGGATAATCATTTGTCATAATAGAATGAGAATTAATTATAAGACTAGAAGTAGATCAAAAAAAGAGCAGAGGGGTAGTAGGAAATGGAAGGGGGCAGGGTGGGTATTAGTAAGGATGGTGGAATATAATAGATATCATTATCCAAAGTACATATATGAAGACACGAATTGGTGTCAACATACTTTATATACATCCATAGATATGAAAAATTGTGCTGTATATTTGTAATAAGAATTGTAATGCATTCCACTGTCATTTATTTTTTTAAATCAATAAAAAAATAAATGGATGAGGGGGCTTTCCTGTCCACAGGGATATTTCAAATGAAAGAAATAAATTGATTGAGGGGGAGAGAAGACATGGCAATAACATAAGCAATTGCTTGTTGAAGAGTTCAGATAGGCTTGGAGTGAAAATGTCTTACGAGAAATCTTTAAGATGTATTAATTAGTCGCTGGGAGTTTAGAAAAATTCTGCCCAATAGGACTATATTGTGAGCTCAAAATGTAACCTAAAAATAGCATCTTAAAATAAAATCATTTCTAAAAGTACACAGAAATAGCTAAAATAAAGAATATATTATTTTTAATCCCATATTAATTTTCAAATACTATTATGTAAGGATTAATAAATTTTTCACTATTAAAAAAAAGCTTCTACAATTCAATAACCAAAAATACAAAACAATAACAAACCTGTTAGTCATCTTTTCATCTCTGTGATAAAATACCAGAGATAATCAACTTAGAAGAAATAAAAACTAATTCTGGCTCATGGTTGCAGAGGTTTTAGTCCATGGTCAGTTGGCTTCATTGTTTTTGGTCCCTGGCAAGGCAGAATATCATGGTAAGAAAAATGCTAATTTCAGGGTAGCCAGAAAGTAAAATGAAAAAGGAAAGCCAAAAGAGAAGGAAGAAGAGGCCAAGGATCCCCATATCCCTTTCAGAACCATATAACACCAATCCAGTGAAATCATGAGCAAATAACTTGAGTAAACATTTTGCCAAAGAAGATATACAAATGGCTAGTAAGCACATGCAATGAAGTTGAACACCACTAGTCATTAGGTAAATGTAAATCAAAACCACAGTGAGATACTGTTCCACACACACAAGGTTGTTTTTGCTGGAAAGGAAAGGAAGGGAAGGGAAGGGGAATGAAAAGAGAAAAAACTCAGAAAATATGTGTTGGCAAAGATATAGAGAAATTTGAACCCTGTGCAGTTCAGTAAGGTTTGAATATAAGATGGTGAGGCTGCTATTGAAAACAGTTTAGTGTTTACTTAAGAAGTGAAACATAAAATTACTATATGATTTATCAATTACGTTTTTAGTGTAATACCTAAAAGAATTGAAACAGAGACCCAAATACTTGTGCACACATGTTCACAGCAGTATTATATACAATAACCAAATGGTGGAAGCAACCGAAGTGCCCACTGACCAATGGATAAACACAGGGTGGCTTGTACATACAGTGAAATTCCGATCAGCCTTTAAAAGGAAGGAAGTTTAGACACATGCTGTAAGGATAAACCTAGAAGATATTATAAGGAGTGAAACAAACCAGACACAAAAAGACATATATCACATGGTCTCATTTATATGAAATGCCTAGAGTAATCAAATTCATTCTACTTCAAAAAATAGGATGGTGATTACCAGGGAGTTGGGGGGAATGGCTTTGGGGTATTAGTGTTTTATTTGTAAGCAGTTTCAGTTGGGCAAGATGGAAAAATTCTGGAGATGAACAGTGTTGATGGTTGCTTAATAAGTATGAATGTACTTAATACCACAAAACCATATACATAAAAATGGTAAAAATGGTAAATTTTATGATATATATTTTACCACAAAAGAATAAAGGAAGACATAGACAAGGATCCATAATGAAAGCTAAGATAAGGAAATTAAAACATTTTCAAACACTACTTTTTCTACAAGTTCTACATTTATTTTCCAGGGTTTACCCGGACCCTCTGGCAGTACAGGAGACAGGGGACTTGCAGGAGAACCAGTAAGTCTATATTTATACTTTTCTAATAGTTTTTTCTCCAAATGCAAATTTATCCTTTCATTATTGCCCTTTTATGTGATGGCTATATTTAGAAAGCAGCATTTATCATAGATACTACAGACTGGTCATGTAGAATGGATATTTTGCTGTATAAACACCATAGACTATGTAGAATGAATATGTTTTCATATAGTTTTAATGCCTTTCACGTTTCATATACTCTAATTTGTTACTATTTCTCTGGAACTGTTAAAACTGAGAGTATTTATTTTTAACAAAGAAAACTCTGTTTTATTGAATCTCAGAAATTCTTCTGAATGGCTTGCTGTTCTTACAATTATTACATTGCCCACTCACACACATACACATTTATGAAGCCAACTCTATAATAGAAGACCACATAGAGAAGCCAAACTCTACATCTGATGGGCCAAAATGTAGAAAGATGACAGAAATGCTGTTGTATCAGCAGTACAAAAACTTACATCACAATTTCATGAATATGATTCAATTATGAAGTTTCCATGGAAAATGAATTTGTGAAAAGGAAAGAACTAGTCACAACCTACTTTCTCACAATTTATTCTTTATTGCCAATGAAGTCATTCTTCTGGTTAATCATGTCAGATGTAAGATGCTGTAATATATTTCTGAGATTTACAATAACAATATAACCTTTCAAACCACTGAGTTGATTTTATCATCAGTTGACACAAAGGTTTACAGATGGTCATTGCATAATTCCTTTAGATAGAAGCAGTAGAAAATTTTAACAGAGTATTCATAACAAACTGTTCATTTCCTCTTTCATGTGTTTAATGTATGATATGAACTCCAAAAAATGAATTAATAATATCTATAATTATTTCCAAATAAAATATGACATTGATTTTATACAATTAAATCGTTCTTGGTTTTCTCCCTATTTTGCATGTCTCAACTTGCTTTCCCAATTCTAATATTTATTTGACTTAAAATAATGCAGCTGTCTTTAGCATGGTGTACTTAAGTACCTGTTTTCCCTAAAAGTCCATAAACTCCCCGAAGTAAGAGGCCATTTCTTTTACCTTTGTAATCTCCTTTTCTGGTATAATATCTAGCATGTTAAATCTGCTCAATGTGCATTTATTAAACTGAATTAACAAAAGATCATGTACTCAGAGGTGTAATTATCCAATAAGTAGATAACATTACATAGATGAGATAAAATGGAATGAAAACGCGTCTTAATAAAGAAGACATTTAACTAGAAATAAGTATGTCAGTAGAATTATGGCAACAGGAGAGACAACATCTTAGGATTTGCACAGGAAAAGACTTGTTAACTAAATGCCTAATGGCACCTAAACACTAACATGCAGGTCACAGGAATGATAAATAGAAATGGGTAAATTCAGTGTATTATGAATACAGTGAGCTTTGTGTCAGATATTTGAACTGTTTTGTCTAGTCATAACAAAGATGAAAATTGATAAACACAAAAGAAATGTTGAAAAAGAGAACTACAGTTTTTCTAGAGCCAAGATTCAAAACTGATTTTTGTAAGTATTTTTTATTTTAATTGGTGACCATTCATTCACTCATTCATTCAATATACAAATATTTATTAAGAATCTACATTTGATAATGTAGTGGTAAGCTTGTAGTTTTCAGTCTGGTGATACAAAATAAATAAACATAGGCATAAATGGATAATTATAAACTGAGATAAATACCATAAAGTACAATCTGCTCTTAATATCCAGAGAAGATTAGCTCTAGAACCTCCCTTAGATACTCCAATCTGTAAATACTCAATACCCTTATATAAAATGGAATAGTGTTTTTATGTAACCTACTCACCTTCTCTTATATACTTTATATCTTCTCTAGATTACTTATAATACTTAATACAATGTAAATGCTATGCAGATAGTTATTATACTGTATTGTTAGGGAATAAAATCAAGAGGAAAAAGTCTGTACATGTTCAGACTTTTCATTCCTAGTTTTTTTAAAATTTTTTTATTTTTATCTGCAGCTGGTTGAATCTATGGTTGCAGAAGACACAAAGGACAAATTATATAATAATTTAGATCTAAAGGGATCTATTACAGAAAAACTGTCATGATCTAGAGCTCATGTTCCATGAACAGAAACATTTGAGATGTCATCTGAAAGATGAATAGTAGTTACATGGGCAAAAATGAGAAAAGGTCATTCCAGAGAGAAATCATGAGCTGGGAGGAAGCACTGCAAGTTTATCAAAGAACTGGAAGATGGCCAATATGTCTGTGGCAAGGAGTCAGGTAGAAAATAAGTGCAAGATGAGGATGGAAAGGAGTCAGGTGACAAAATGCACACAAATTTATGACCCCTATTCCTTAGAACTTGTGTTATTATCTTATGGATGTCACTGGAGAGATAGAGCAGTGATCAAGTTATTGTTTCATATCACTCAAATCACAAGATAAAAGGAAACAAACTCTTATAATTATCCAGACAAGAGCAATATCACTTACCCAGAATCTCATATCCAGTGGAATTCAAGAGCCTGACATTAATAACTCTAGAGTGTATGTGAGCATCATGACATTGTGATGACATTGTCAGGGCCACTTGTCACCAGTTCAAGACCATAATTTCTCAGATATACAACCATTATTTGACTTGAAGTGAATGAATAAACAATTTTGAAAGAAAGAGATCTATTACTGAAATCCTTGACCCGAGTCCTGACTAAGGGATTCCAACAGACCAGATTTGGTCACCAACCACTTGAGAGTCAAATCAGAGACAAGTGGTGGGAAGGCAAGAAAGGAATTTATTATTCATGTGACCACACTGAAAGAAACAAGGAGACAAGTGTCCTAAGCCCTGTCTTTGGGGTTCAGATAAGAACTTGGAATTTATATAGAACAAGGACAAATGGGATAAGAACTATGCATAGTCAAACAGTCTTGGTCAAACTGTGATCTGGTTGATCATTACCCCAAGTGAGGTTCTACAAAGTTCTGCAAGCTGAAGGGAAAATAGTTACAAATTATTTGAGGGTCAATTCCATTCCCGTCATGAGATGATGGCTCCCACTTGGGGAAATAACCTCCATTCCTTTTATGGAATAATATACCTGTAAGACTGGCTATTCCTGGAATCTTAAAAATATATTAGTTACTCTTGATAATTTAAGCCTTGAAGGGGGAATGAGAGAGGGCCAGTCAACCTTGTATTACCAATTTTTAGATAGACACTCCTTAAGTGATTAACAGTGATTAACAGTCTATGTGCAGAGTTGAACAGGAATCTGACCCAAGTTAAGACAATACAGCTGCAAGCCCAAGTGAAGAGTCAGTACTTTTAGCAAAAGCAGTACCACTTCATTCCATAAAATAGAGTAAGTCTTCCTATGAGTTTTGTAGAAGAGGTGGGGTTTACAGATGGAAAAAGTCTGGAAAAAGACAGAAACAAAGGACAAAAAGTGGATTGGTCACTTCAGAATTACTTTTCTTATAAAGCAGGGCTAGGGAGACAGAGCAATTGAAAAATAACTGCTTAATTTCAGGTTACTTTTTTGAAAGAACTAAAACAGAAGAAACTTCATTTTCATGCCTCAAACTGGCCTGTTTGAGAAATTTGATTATTACTCCCTTTCTTGATTTCTCAGAAGGTCAAATTCCACCTTAGTTTTGGTTTTGTGTTGTGGACCTTTAGTATGAGTGACTCCATTTTTATTTTTAGTCTGGTCTTTTGGGGCCTAATGCAAGATCTTAATTCAAAACAACGGCCTCTCACACTTTTTATTTAACAAATGTAAGGCTGAGATCTAAAGAATTTCAACATTTTTAAAATATGATAGAAAAGGTTGACAATGCAGAGGCTGAGAGATAAGAAGAAAATCAGACTTATAAATTAGGAGTTTCATCCCTAATCATAACCAGTCTTGAAATTTTCTTGACAATCTCAGGTTCCTTTAGAAATATATAGGCATAAAGAGGGACAACCTGCAGCCTGCTTTTGTAAACCAAATTTTACTGAAACACAGCCTTACTATTCATTTATGTATGTATGACTACATGTGTCTAAACTAAAATAAAGTAGTTCAGAGAGAGACCACATGACCCACAAGCCTATAATATTTATTGTCTGACCCTTCAAGAAAAGTTTACTGACCTCTGATCTAGATTTTAATTATATATACATTTATATGTATATATACATACATAAAGAAAATGCCCCAATAATTGCAAACTTGATATAAATAATGTTCCTAGGATAGTACAATATATAACCTACACAACTGTACACAGTGGCCTTCTATAAGAGGAAAGTGATGAGTTTCTTTCTTCCTTCTTTTCTCCTTCCCTCTCTCTCTCTTTCTGTCTTTTCCTATCTCCTCAGAAAAACGAATGAAAAAGCATCTCCTGACCTAAATAATTTTGTTAATATCTTTAACACTGAAAATTGTATTTAAAAGAAAAAGTAGAATGCTATGCTTTTTAAAATTATTTCTTCCTAACCTTGCTTTATAACATCCCCAATAATTAAATACCCCTAGGTACTCTCTTAGTTAAGTCACTTCTTCTTACCTCAAAAGATAATTAATATTATTTTCAGGTTAACTGGAAATGTGTGATAAAACCTCACTCAATCCCCTATTAAATTACTTATGAAAATACAAAATGGCAACTGTCTTGGAAACAAAAGATAAAGAGGACCCTACATCAGCATCTCAGTAGAATTTTAACCACACAAATTGAAATAACCATATAACAAAAAATGTACTAGCAGTGTCCATGGAATGGCATAGTGTTATTTGAAAATTGACTTAAATTAATTGTAAATACATATTGCAAACTCTTAAGTCAACTACTATTAGTGAACTCTGCCGAAAACTTAATGAACAAATAATACCAGTTCTTTACAATCTCTCCCAGGAAATAGAAACAGCAGAACACTTCCTAACTCATTCTGAGGACAGAATTACCCTTGTATACCAAAACTATTCAAATACATTACAAGAAAAGAAAACTAGAGACCAATATCACCCATTAACATAGATGTAAAAATCCTCAGCAAAATATTAGCAAATTAAATACAACATAATAGAGTATACATTATGACTGGGTGGGATTTATTCCAGATATACAAAGAAAATCAGTGAAATTACCTTAACAGACTAAAGAAGAAAAAAAAGAGTTTATAAAGAGATCCAAAAAATCATTTAATAAAATTTAATATCCAGTCCTAATAAAAACTCTCAGGAAACAAAATGGAAGGACAATTCCTCAGCTTTATGAAGAACGTATATTCAAAGGAAAAAATAGCCTTTTAGCCAACATGATACTCTATGGTGAGAGGCTAGATGTTTTCCCCCATAGAACAAGGAAATGAGGAAAAGATGACTCTTTTTTTTTTAGCTAAAACTCAACATTATATTAGAAGTTCTATCTACTGCAATAATATAAGAAAAGGAAATTTTAAAATTACATATTGTAAAGAAAGAAATAAAACTTTTTCAAAATAGTATGCTTTTATGTATTAAAAAAATTCCTAAAGAATTGATTTAGTTTAAAAACGAAACCTTCCTTGAACTAATAGATGATTATAATAAAGTTGTAACATACCAAAGTACAAATTATACAAATACTATCCCACTATACTATATACTATCCCACTATATACTATCCCACTATATACTATCCCACTATATACTATCCCACTATATACTATCCCACTCCTTGGCTTATACCCAAAGGATTTAAAATCAGCATACTATAGCGACACAGCCACATCAATGTTTATAGCAGCTCAATTCACAATATCTAGACTATGGGATCAATCCAGGTGTTCCTCAATAGATGAATGGATAAAGAAAATGTAGTATATATATACTCAATGGACTATTACTCAGCTTTAAAGAAAAGTGAAATTCTGGCATTTGCCAGTAAGTGGCTGGAGTTGGCAAATGGTCTTTGAAAGAGGAGCAAAGGCAATTCAGTGAACAGTCTTTCCAACAAATGATGCAGGGAAAAAATGTATGGCCATATGCCCAGGGGAAAAAAAGAAAATCTGTGTGACCTTAGATTTGGCACGGAGTTTTTAGATACAATACCAAAAGCATAATCTATGAAAAAAATGGATAAATTGGACTTTGTTAACATTAAAAACTTTTCCTCAAAAAACACATTGCTAAAAGAATGAAAAGACAAGTCATAGACTAGGAGAAAATATTTGCAAAGCACATATCTGATAAAAAGACTTGTATCCAAAATATAGAGAGATCTCTTAAGTCAAAATTTTTTTTAAATTAAAAAGTAAACAAAAGATTTGAACATATACTACACCTGAAAATTTACAAAAGTGGCGTAGAAGTAAATGAATCATGCTCAAATAATCTCTCATAGGAAATTGCAATAAAAAAATTACATAGCACTGCACACCTGTTAGAATGATTAAAATTCAAATCCCTGACAATACCAAATGCTGGCAGGGATGTACAGCAACAGGATCTCATAAATTGCTGCTGGAAATATAAAATGGTGCCACCTCTTTTCATGACAGTTTGACAGACCTAAACATATTCCTATCATATGATCCAGTAATCATACTCCTTGCTGTTACTCAAATGAGTGGTCCACTCAAAAACCTACACATGGAATTTTGGGAAGCAACCAATAGACTTATTGGTTATTAGTTGCCATTTTCTGGACCATAAGGCAATAGGATTAGGAAGTGGGGCCTTTAGAGGTGATTAGATGATGAGGGCATTAAGGCTTCCATGACCAGGAATACTGCTCTTAAAAATAGAGACTTCAGAGAGATAAAAATCTATTTATAGCTGTGTCATGAAGACACAGCTAGAATGTACCATCTATGAACCAGAATGTGGAATCTCACCAGACACTAAATCTGCTGCTAGCACATTGATAATGGACTTTCCAGCCTCCAGAATTGTGAGGGTTAGTTGTTTGTTATAAGCTATCAGTTTATGTACTTTGTAATAGCAGCCCAAAAGAACTAAGACAACATCCTTCAACAAATGGAGCCAAGCATGGTGGCACACACCTCTAATCCCAGCAACACGGGAAGATGAGGCAGAAGGATCACAAGTTCAAAGTAGCCATAGCAACTCAGCAAGGCCCTCAGCAATTTAGCAAGAACCTGTCTAAAAGTAAAAGATTAAAAAAGGGGCCTGGGGATTTGGCTCAGTAGTTAAGCACCCCTGAGTTTAATCCCTAGTACTCCCCCAAAAAGCAATGGTGGATAACAAACACCCATAAAATGGAATATTATTCAGCAAAACAATCTGAAAGGCTACATATCATCTAATTCTAATTTCATGACATTCTAGAAAAAGCAAAACTACACTGTAAAAAAGAAAATCATATATTTGTTTCTTTAAAAATGCCATTTTGTTTGTCACATATTTTCCAGGAATATTAAGTAGATATCCTTTAAGTAAAATAACTTATAAAAGCCTTTAACACATTTGATACTTACTAAGTACTTGATCAATGTTTATTGAATGAATCAATGAATTAGGATTACATGAATGAATAGTACTCCTTCCTTTTTTTTCTTTTAAATCCAAGCATAGCTTAATATCATTCTAAAAATGACACAGATGCATCAATCAACTAAAGATATAATTTTGTGTATAAAGAAAGGTAATAAATTGTTGATAACTTAATTATATACGATCAGATGTTATTAATTCCATATTTAGATGCATCTGATTATTGAAGGGAGAACTTTTATTTTAATATCTTAAATTTTGTTTTAATATAGGGACTTCGAGGATTGCAAGGTGATGCTGGACCTCCTGGAGAAATGGGTGTTGAGGTAATTTTTTGTGGTTCTTTCTAGTTCAATTATACCAAATACTTTTTGTAAGATTTTAAGGTAAAGTTAATAAATTCACTATATATTATGAAAAATACTTCTTTACTATTTTCTTTAATATTCAGAAAATAAAACCTAAAATCCCATAAAAAGTAGAAATCATGGTATAAACCTAATTTCATACATATAAAGTTGTCCTCTAACAAAAGCTCATTGAAATGACAACAAAAATAAATAAAACTTTCCCTTTCCTGATTCAGTATTGACTTGGTAGCCATTCAAACTAAGTGCTTTCTCTCTTTTACAGAAACAAGTAATTTGAGGTGACTATATTTAGTATATTTTAAAATAAACCACATTTATTATAATTATAAAATACAATTAATTTATTTCTGTTACTAACTTTAGTACTGAATAAATTAAACCATTTCCATTCCTTACTCCCTCTCCTTCCCTGCTTCTATGAAGCCACTCTCTCTGGGTTTCCCCCTTTACCTTCTCATTAGCCTTTCTCAGTTTTGACAGGAAGTTGCCCTTCCATTTCCATGGCTTAGCAATAATATTATCATAATGACTTTAATTACCAATATTATTTTGGTAGCTCTAATTCACACCTCTCTCCTTAGCACTAGTTATTGATTTCCTGTTGTATCTTTAAATATCCATCTGGACATCTAAAATACATTTCAATTTAAAACATTTAAACCCATCACTTTCCTACTTTTCTTTTTACTTCCATCTCAGTGCCCAATAATCTCAAATTGAGACCCATCCTAGACCACTCCTAATGTGTCCTCTTCAGTTAGCCAACTGTTCTTTTTGAGTAAGCACCTCCTCCCCATGGTCTTTCTTTTCTTTTCTTTTTTTTTTTTTGGAAGGCATTTTTTTATTAGTTGCTCATGACAATACAATGATCTTGACATATCATACATTTGGTTCAAATGGAGTATGAAATCTCAAGGCTGTCTTTTCCTTTTAGTCTCTATTAGCAGTATTCTCATCCACTCTTAAGCCATATCTCCTCCAATTATATCATTCCTTCATTCAGTTTATCTCTCTTATAATATTCATCTCCTTGAAAATTTTTAAGAGTTCTTATAACTTTTATCATAAAAGTGTCAATTTCTTAACACAATAACTTCTACAAATGTCTTTAACCACATTCCTGGTAAAATTTTTCTTCTCTGCCATGGACTCCATGTTTGTTGACCTATTTCTTATTCCATGATTATGCTGTGCCTTCTGACTGAATACCATGTACCTGCTTGAGATATAAGGATGATAAGGTTGCTGACTCCTTTGGGAGTTTGTAATCTATTTCAGAGGACAGTTATATAAACAATCATTATACTGCAATGTTAAGCTCAATGACTTAGATATTGACAGGAAAACATAGAAAGACACAGCAGTGAGCCCTTTTCCCTATCTGGGGAAAGGAAAAAAATAAGACTTACCTATGTGTGTGTGGCAGTGGGTAACTGAGTTTTAAGGAAAAGAAGGAGTTAGCTGTATGAAGAGAGGGAATAATGATAAGGGAATTCCAGAAGGAGATAGTATGAGCACGAACTTTTAAACATGAAGCAATATGGATTATTTGATACTCAAAGCCAAAGCACAATAGTAATAGAGTAATAGGAAAATTATGAAAATCTTGTGTACTCAGTTAAGAACCTTAAAGTTTTTATTTTATAGGCTGTGGTATATCATTAGAAAGACAAGGCAGAAACAACATCAGAATTGTATTTTAGGAAGATAATTCTAGTATCTGAATTAAAAGTATATTTGAGGAGACAAGATTAAAGAAATATAACCTATTAAAAGGCTGTTACACTAGACCAAGCCAAAAAACAAACAAACAAAAATGATGGAGGGATGAACTAAACCAGGAGGCATAGAAATATTTGTTATATAAAATAGACAGAACATTCATATTTGTAGAATTTGTGAAGTAAAGCAGAAAGAAAAGTCAAAAACATTCTAGATCATGTGACAAGATGGATAGCAATACCTTTTCCTGAGTTCAGAAAAGAAGACTGCTTAAGACTAGTTAAGACTCTATCTGTGAATCTGCCCAAGGTAAATGGCTCACAAGTAGCAGAGCCAGATAATCTGAGTGAGAGTTATTGCTTATTACCTATACTAGCTCCCATCCTCTGAGCCTGAAGAAAGTGAGAGCAGTCATACCTGACAGCTTGAAATTAATAGAGTAAGATGACAATTCTGATGTGATAAGGATTAGGGTTTAAGCAGTGACTTGATGAAAATATGGTAGTTTAGAATAGTGGTTAAAGATAATGGAAGAGGGAAATGTTCAAAGACAAGTAAAAGATGAACTATACCTATCTGTCAAACTGAGGTAAGAAATAGTGGATTTGCATTATATTTAGTAATGATGATAATAATAATACCTAACAATTGCAGAGCATATTCTATGTCTTAACAATGTTTATGCTCTTTACTGTATAATTGGATTCTCACAACAATTCTATGAGATAGGTACAGTTATTATCCCCATTTTATAGATGAAGAAACTAAGGCATATAATGGTTAAATAATTATCTAAGAGCAATAACTAAAGTAACATAGTTGTTAGATTAAATTTAGGCAGTCTTCTTCCACATCTCTGTTCCTACCCATGTGCCTCTCAACATGGAATGATAAGACTTTGTGTAACAGTATAATTTTCCCCAGCCATATTTATCTAGGAATAAGAAAGGTAAAGGTGCTTTTAAAACCTGATCCAGAATTGGTAAAATAAAAGGGGTACCACAGAGATCAGAAGATTGACTATTGATCTAGCTTGGGCTAGGAATAAAGGAAATCAAGAGGGGCTGAAATATGGGGAAAAGATAGTGCCTACAGAGGTCTGTGAGATTAACAGCATCCTTATCCCATCTCTCCTCCATCCCCTTTAATCCTTATTATCTACTCCACTGATCTTTATTTTTTTTATTCCCCCTATTCTCCTTATTTTGAATTAGTTTCCACATATCAGAGGAAAAAATTGATCTTTGACTTTTGGGGACTAGCAAGGTAATCTCCAGTTCCATCCATTTACTGGCAAAGGACATAATGTCATTTTTCTTAATGGCTGAGTACTCCATTATGTGTGTGGAGTACATACAGACAAACACATCATATCATATCACATCATATTTACTTTATCCATTTATCTGGTGAATAGTACCTACGTTTGTTCTATAATCTGGCTATTATAAATTCTGCTGCTATAAACATTTGTGTGGCTATGTCACTGTAGTATGACTTAAATCATTTGGATATATATCCAGGAGTGAGATAGCTGCATCATATGATATTTCCATCCCTAGTTTTTTGAAGAATCTCCATGCTGCTTTCCAGAGTGGTTGCACTAATTTACAGTTGCACAAACAAGTATGAGTGTACCTTTTTCTCCACATCCTCACCAACATTTACTGTTACTTGTATTCCTTTTAAAAATATTTGTATACTTATTTTTTATTTGTTCTAACTAGTTATACATAACAGTAGAATGCATTTTGACACATCATACATAAATGGAGTATAACTTCTCATTCTTCTGGTTGTACGTGATGTAGAGTTACAAAAGTTGTATAATCATTTACACACATAGGGTAATGATGTCTGATTCATTCTACTATCATGCCACTCTCATAACCCTTCTCCTTTTTTCCCTCCCCTCTGCCAAATCCAAAGTACCTCTGTTCTTCCCTACCCCCTGCTTATTGTGAATCAACATCCACAAATCAGAGAAAACATTCAACCTTTGATACTTTGGGATTGGTTTATTTCACTTAGCATGATATTCTCCATCTCCATTCATTTACCAGCAGATGCCACAATTTCATTTTTCTTTAAGGATAAGTAATATTCCATTATGTATATATGCCACAGTTTCTTTATCCATCATCTGTTGAAGGGCACTTAGGTGGATTGCATAGTTTAGCAATTGTGAATTGAGATGCTGTAAACATTGATGTGACTGCATCACTGTTACATGCTGATTTTAAATCCTTTGAGTATAAACTGGGTCAAATGGTGGTTCCATTCCAAGTTTTCTAAGGAATCTCCATACTGATTTCCACAGTGGTTGCCCCAATTGGTAGTCCACCAGCAACATATGAGTATACCATTTTCCCCATATCCTTGCCAACATTTATTGTTGTTTGTATTATTGATAATTGCCATTCTGACTAAGAATTTCAGTGTAACTTGATTTGCATTTATCTAATTGCTAGAATTGTTGAACATTTTCTCATATATTTGTTTATCGAGTACGTTTTCTTTTGTAAAGTATCTTATCAGTCCCTTAGCCCATTTATTGATTGGGCTATATGTTTTTTCCTTGTAGAGTTTTTTGAGTTCTTTATATATCCTGGAGATTAATGTGCATGTGGTAAAGATTTTCTCCCATTATGTAGGCTCTCTACATTTTTTATTGTTTCCTTTGCTGTGAAGACTCTTTTTAGTTCAATACCATCCCATTTATTGATTCTTGATTTTACTTCTTGTACTTTAGGAATCTTGTTGTTGGTTCCTAAGCCAACAAGATGGAATATTGGGCCTATGTTTTCTTCTAGTAGGCACAGAGTCTCTGGTCTAATGCCTAGATACTTGATCCACTTTCAGTTAAGTTTTGTGCAGAGTGTGAGATAGGGATTTAATTTCATTTTGCTACATGTGGATTTTCAGTTTTCTCAGCACCATTTGTTGAAGAGGCTATCTCTTCTCCAATGTATGTTTTTAGCACCTTTGTCTAGTATGGGATAACTGTATATATGGGTTTGTCTGTATCTTCTCTTCTGTACCATTAGTCTACATGTCTGTTTTGGTGCCAATATTATGCGATTTTTATTGCTATGGCTCTGTCGGAAAATTTAAGATCCGGTATTGTAATGCCTCTTTCTTCACTTTCTTTCTAAGGATTGCTTTGACTATTCTGGGTCTCTTATTTTTCCAAATGAATTTCATGACTGATTTTTATATTTCTATGAAGAACA